ATATACAGTTTTATACCATTTTATATATGTGGCATTTTATATACATGGCACTACTAGAGTGCCATGGCACTCTAGTAGTGGAAGAAGGTCCAGTTTTTAGAGGGTTTCTCCCGTGGAATAAAATGGGAGGATGTTTGAACTCTACTTGCTTGTTTGTATGGAGTATAATATGAGCCCTTCTCTTGGGGCAGGGGACTCTCATCCACTTGGCAATGGATTTTGTACCTTTTGTTTGTATCCTTGGGGTCACAGCTCGCCTCAGCAGGGTTGATGTGCGTTCTTCAACCTTCTCTCTTGGCTCAGCTCCAACCCATTGGCTTACTTGCTGAACTTCTGTCCTTTGACTCTCCTTGTGGACGGGAGCCTCTGTGAAAAGCTGGCTTCAGTTGGCCATCTTGCCTCAGGATCCACCACTTTTCTGATTTCTGGATCTCAATGTTGATTAGGAACCTGAGTTTCTTTAGGGTGGCATGAGTGGGAACAGAAAGAGAGGCTGGGTGAGCCTCTGTAGAATCCCAGTGGTGATGCTTCAGGTAACTCATGAGCCTCTGTGAGCTTGAACAACTTTTCCACAAAGGCAGAGTCTTCCTCCTCATCAGGAGCAGGTGTAGGCAGCTGTAGGGACTGCATAAGTCCCCAGCTGCTCTATGGCTTCAGCCTGATGCTCAGCCAGAGTTCTCTAAACTAGTCCATCAGCCCTAGAGAATGTACAGTATTCCAGATGAAGCTGGGAGGAAAATGTTTATTTGTATGAATATTAATCATGTGTATTACTATGGGTGACTGGGAATGGATGCAAAATGTGTATATGTTTCACTTCATTAAGAATTTTTTTTGGGGGCGGTTTGGCGCCCGTAGCTCAGCAGTTAGGGCACCAGCCACATACACCAGAACTGGCAGATTTAAACCTGGCCTGGACCTGCCAAACAACAATGACAACTACAACAAAAAAAAAAATAGCCAGGTATTGTGGCATGTGACTGTAATCCCAGCTACTAGGGAGGCTGAGGAAGGAGAGTCGCTTGGGCCCAAGAGTTTGAGGTTGCTGTGAGCTATGACACCACAGCACTCTACCAAGGGCGACATAGTAAGACTCTGTCTCCAAAAAAAAAAAAAAAGATTTTTAACATTATTGGTTTTCCTTCTTTTGCACACAAAAGCAAAAAATTAAGTGTGTTCCACTTGTCAGAGGTCTCCTCACTGTAATGGGTACTACAAGGCCCCTGTGGGCCACATCCCAGGGTTGAATAAGAACTGGGAGGTGGGGTGTTGGAGACAGCTGCCCATGGAGTCAAATGTGAGATGTTTCCAGCTAATTCCTAGCTCTGAAATATGCCTTCCTCCTGGACTGATGAGGCACGCAGTCCCATGGGCCTGCTTTATTCATCAGGTCAAGTAGGGGACATCCCAACTCCTATGACAAGTGGCCAGGCCTCTGAACCAGCCTTCTCTTGGCCCAAGGAACTCACCAACACATATAGAAGATAGAACTAAAAGCCAAGCAACACTCAATGTTCCAAATGAGCCACATTGCTGAAATATAGACTGCTGTGTTATATGATTAAATTGTTATCAGTCTGGTGACCCACGAAACCCAGTCTTAATATAAAATGCCATTTGTTTGGGAAATCCATCTCCCAAAGAAATTTGGTTCCAGGGGCTCTGATCAATGTGCACCATTAGAGTTTCATTCCTTTGGCAGGAGAATTTGTGTTCTGTTTGAATAAAGATGGATCCGTGTTAGAGAAAATTCTAAGGTGATCCCTAAGAGGTCAGTAGAGTCCCTTCCTGTTGACTGTGATTTCATTCCTGTCACTAGGTTATAAGGCAAAGATACAGAAGGTCAAAAGGAAGTTCACCCTGATAAGTCCCTTAGAAGAAGGTCCAGAGGCCAGAGCTGGAAGCAGCAGCAGACACTCTTGTTTTGGCCTAAAAACAATAAATTGCCACGTTGTGGAGCGGAGCAGCTTTAGGAGACTCCAGTGAACCTACACCCGACTCCTGAGCCACAGAAGCTGTAAGATAATGCATGTGTGTTGTTTTAAGCTAAGTTTGTATAAGTTGTTACCCATTATAGAAAATTACTACAGGAGAAAAGAGGCGTCCTCAGGTCATCACAGACACAGTGATGGCTCTGAGCCTGGCACTCTCATACAGTGTCTCATTTACAACAGCCTGCAGAGTGAGGGTGGCCCCTTAGGAACGTCCTCTATGTAGGGCTTGAATTCTCTGACACAATCATGTAATGATTTCCCTGTTCTTGGGAAACAGAAGGAATTAGCTCTTGGTCACTCTCGGCCATTGTCCTTAAACTCCTCAGAGACAGGGAAGAAGATGGGCTTTGGTGAGATGTACTTGCCTTCACAATTATCTGCTGTTTATTAGCTAAGTGACTAGGGCAGATACATGACCTTCAAGAAATTGTGTTCTAATCTGACAATGAGTGGAGTTGCTATGAGAAACATGGCCAACTGTGTGCTGGTCCCTGGGTTATTGGCATTCATGGAGAATATTATCTATTCCTGGCAGCAGCCCTGCATGCCAGGTGACATGATCGATTATAATTCTTTGGATGAGAAAAGGTTTTCAGGGAAGTTGAACTTATGCCCTAGTTCAGTGGAGGTAAAGGAGGGGACTCAGATGGAGGCTCAGATCTGTGGGACCTCCCAGGAAAGTCTCTCTGAGGCACCTTGAGTCCTTCCACCTGCATGCAGGGCTCCCTGTGGGCTGGGCCTCCTGGTGCCCTAAATTCTTCTGACAGTACCTGTTGTGGGTGATGGGGGCCACCATCTTTCATGTCTTTCTGAAATGTCCATCACAACCTCTAGGAATGGTTTCCCATGTCCCCTCACTTCCCTACCTTGCAGGAGTGAATCCGAGTCACAACAGGCAATGGGATAGTGTTCTTCCTTGCAGGCACGACCTCTAGGACCTGAGATTAAAGGGGACTACAGCCGGGACCCTAAGAAGTCTTGGCTTGCTCTGAGAGGAAGGCTGTCCTGCAGGGCAGCCAGGTAGGATTGACTGGGATGACCCCTGAAGGCCACCTGCAGGCTGGCTCCCTGACAGGGGCCAAAGCCTATACTTCTGAGTCAGCTTCCTCTGCCTCTTGCTCTGTGTTCCCACTGGCCTTGCCCAGGCTTAGCAAAGTCTTTTCAAACACCCAGTCCTAGCTGTGTTCTGTGAAGCCAAAAGACAATGTCTTGTCTGGGCCAGTGCAGTAAAATGTGGATGGGGCCTCCTATGGATTGGGCCACTCATGGATGGGATCTCTGTTGATAAGGTCTTCTGTGGATGGGGCCTTCCGTGGATAGGATCTCCCGTGGATGGGGTCTTTGTGGTTGGGGCCTCCTGTGGATGGAGCCTGTGTTGATGGGCTTTCTTGTGGATGGGGCTTCCTGTGGATGGGGTCTTTGTGGATGGAGTCTTCATGGATGAGATGCTGGTGCTGTGGGAAGTGGAGCCTGAGACCTGGGACAAGGGGACTGGCATCTCTCAGGGTTGGCCCAGTGGCCCTGACCTCTGTGTTCTTCTTTCAGAGCAAATCCTACATGGCCTAGAAATTGTTTTTCTTTAACAGAGGATTCAATTTCCTCCTTGCAGTAGGATCAGTGAGGTGAGTGTTTCACATTAGACCTCAGAGCACTGAGGGGTGGCATAGGGCTGCCACCCAGCCAGGAATGTGTGTGCCAGACCCTCTGTGTCCTGGGTAGCTGCCTTCTGTCAGCACTAGAATACTTCTCCTGACATACCTGTGCCCTACTCCCCTCTATAGCAGCCTGCTTGCCCCTTTCTGTGTTACTGTGTATGTGACTCTCTCTGCCATGCTGGGAACTTCTTATGTATTCAGTTGTTGTTAGCTGTATTTGACAGGCTGCCCCAAGGAAGGGCTGAACTCAGGAAAGCACTGGTCAGTTTGGAAATAGAATTGAAAGGGGTTAGAAAATATTTTTCATCTTTAGCCTCTTCAGTTAGTAAAAGGGTCTCAAAGTGAGACACAGCCTTGTTGAAACTTCTAAAAGCACTGAAGTGGCACTTCACAGAGCCCCTCAGCCAGACACAAAGGGTCTGAGCAAGGCAAAGGCCTGTCCCACAGGGCCTGGTGCTTCTGCAGTACCCAGAGTGAAATCTAGAGAGTAAGGCATGTGTCAGAAGAAATCATGGGTGTTGTCATTGCATATGGTGGAAGCTGCCATCAAATGCATGGAAATCCTTCGCATTTTAGAGGTCTCTCTTCCCGAAAGTGTCACCAGCCTGGCCTGAGGGCGACAGTGACCATTCAAGATGTGAGCAGATGTCTGGGTTTCTGATTCACCCCAGGAAGGGACAGGCTTACACAGCTGCTCAGGACCATGAAAGGGAATCATGGAAGATGACAGAGACAGAAGGACCTGCCCTAGGGGGATGCAGATCCCAGAGAACAGACCTGGGGCCCCATCAGAGGGCAGTGCTTGCTCTTAGAGTAGGGGTATAGTGGTATTTTCCTAGGACTATTTCAAATTTCTCTGGAAAGTTGTGGTCCATGGTCTCTAGATAAAGAGGAGACATGAGAAACTGCTGTAGTTGTGAGACCTTGGACCTCATCTCTGATGCTCTGATTAGGGGACCTTCTGAAGTATCTTAGGAAAGGCAAGTGTGGGATTGGCATCTGCGAAAGGAGTGACAGGAGTGGTAATTTAGATCATTATCCAGGAAATCTCAGATCCCCTCCTTTTAATAGAGACAATATCTTTTCCAGTTCCTTGGCCATATGACTTGCATTGACCAATAGAATGTTCGTGGATCAAGGAGGAGTAAAGGCCTTGTGGTGTTAGGCTTACCTTCTTGCCATCTTCACTTCATGTCATTTTTTCCGCTGGGTCATTGCTGCCCCTTTCTGGAACAGATTTGAGTCCAAGCTATAAGGAGAAGTTAAACCTAGCCAGACCCACAGCTCAGCCAAGCCCATACTAGATGAGCTGACTCTCCCAACTGGCTAGTATACATGAGTGATAACACATGAGAGTTAAGTGGCAGAGTTTTGGAATGGTCTGTTACACAGCAATAGCTGACTGATACACCTTCCTTCAAGAGAGAATAGATGGCAAGCAGAGAAATGACAGCCAGAGGACTGTTTCTGGTTTGGGAGTGGGTGATAATCCAAGCAGCTCTCAAGAAGCAGGATGTAGCCAAGGTCAAGAGAACCACAGCCTTCAGTCCTTGAGCAAGTTTGTTTCTCTGAGTTCTCATTTGGCTTCTCAAGGCTCCTGTTTGAGATCCTACAAGCTGTTTGAGATCCTACAAGCTGTTCTGAGAGAGTAATTAAAAAAGGAGACTGATGATGGGGCTGTGGGTTCACTTAAATACCCTAACAGGATCATTTTCCTTAAATGAAAATGGAATGTGCCTTGTTCTTTTCAATTATAAGAATAATAAACAGGCGATGCCGTTACAGTAAGTGCCTTGCATGGACTGCCAGCAGTTATCACCAGTGTTGGTTCTGAGCTACAGAGGGAGAGATTTGATCCATCAAAAAAATCTCACATGCATGACAGATTTATTGGACCTCAACAAATGTTCTTTTAACGAAAATTACCATTTAAAACACTCCTCAGAAAATGGCCTCATTAAATCTTATGCCAGACCATGTATTTAAACCAAATTCAAGTGGATTTATTGTCTTCTCTTTTCTTGTATAATTAATCAGATGAAAGCTGATCTTTAAAATGGACTTAGCTATTACCTTGAAAAATACAAATTCTTCATTCTTTTTCCCAATCTGTTTGTACCTGACTGGGTCCCTATGGGCCAGTAATGAGTTTGCTCAGATAAACTTAAAGTGGGACTTGTTTTCATTGATCACCTTCCAGTGTGTTTGCTCCCCTACCAGACTGACCTCTTCTAGGAAAGGAATTGCTGTGTGTTTGTGTTCATATCCATTGTGCCTATGACGGTGCTCACTGCAGAGGGGGCTCAGTGATCACTGACGAAAGTTGGGTTGCAGAGGTCAATTTCTTGAGGCCTTTGGCAAAAGGAAACCCCTGATGAATGATTCAATCACATCTGTGCAAATTCAAGCACAATTATTATTACCTCCCATTTACTATAATCAAGGGTGAGCATTAGAGTCAAACATATACATGTAAGTCTTGGTGATGGGAATGCAAGCAGAACCCTCCCTGGGAACTTGGGTACTTTTCCCTGCTGTGGTTATTATCCAGTGTCCCTGTAACATGTTCCCCATTGAACAAATTTCAATGACCCCTATATAATCCTCTCCTTTAGCTAACTACCAGACCTTTTGAGTTGCTTCCCAGAAATGGTGGATTTTCTGCAAGACAAAGAAGCCGAGATTCGGAATGGGGGCAGATTCCCTGAAGACTCCCAGTGCCCTGTGACCTGCCCCAATGCTTGTAGCTCCTTGTTAGCTACACAGAACCTGCCCCAAGTTATGTGGCCCTTCCTTTAAAAGCCCATGATATCTGTTATTCAGTCGAAGAGATGGATTTGAGACAGCTTCTCCCATTCTCTCAACGAGACCAGACATCTGTCAGATTGAAAATTCCTTTCTTCCTTGGCAAACTTTTTGTCTCAATAATTGGGTCCCTGGGTGACAAGAAACTAGATTTAGACATAAACTACTTTGCAATTTCAACAATATCCCAACCGGACTGGTGAGACATGGGTGAGGAAACGTTGAGGTTGGGGCTGTGTCATTCGGTCAGGTGGGCAGTGAGATTGTGCTTCCTCGTACCACTGCTGCTCCTACAACTGTTTCCCCTTTGCCACCCGACTGAAGTTGGCCCAGAAGTGGTTAGTGATCTGATCCTTGACCAAATCCCTGTAGAACTTAAATGAGGTTTGGTTAACACTGTTTATAAGATCTTTAATGCTTGTTTATGTCTGTATACTTTCTTCTAAACAAATCAGATTATTACAACTGTTTCTGGTACTTTCCCTCATCTTCTGCACTTGTCTCGGGATGGGACTGTGTGGGCTTTGCAGTGGGAGAAGCTAATGTTTGCCCCTTACTCTCCA